AGAGAGAGAGCATACTTACACAGCCGTCTTCACCCAAATAGAACGCCCGGTCATTATCACTGCATCTGGACAGAAAGCTGCCCCAAATACAGGTATAATGACTGGGCGTTCTATTCGGGTGATGAAGGTAGGTGCAGACAATCAACATAGTAGTCATAGTCTGTCATACATCTGTCAATACATGGGCCACATTGCCTCTCACCTGCTACACACTGCACCTCCAAGGGAGTCATGCATGTGCCAATACGTGGGCCACATTGCCTCTCACCCGTCTTCCGTCGAACATAATGCATATGCGTTGTAAGCGAATACAACGCATGTGCGTTGAATACAACGCATATGCATTCTATTCGAACAGCCCTTATTTTCGAATACAACGCAAATGCTTTTTATCCGACTTTTCAAAAATTCAAATACAACGCATATGCGTTATGTTCGGGGGAATACGGTAGGTGTGGACTATCAGCACAAAGGGAGTCATAGATATGGTGACACACGGGCCGCACTGCCCCTCACCTACTACACGCCATACATCCTGGGGCAAGGTCCTACTTGCACAGATTACGAGATATCGGCCGTTGATATCAAAGATCAACAGCCAATATCTCTTAATCCGTGCAGGTGGGACTTTGCCCCTGGAGGATGATGATATGGTCTCAAGTTTGGGGGGAGTGACAGAAAGGCCTCGGAGGATTGCGGTCGGCATGGCACATGACACCTATCACCCAATGCACCAGCCCTCTCCAGACATGAATGTGCCCAACGGCAACGAAACCCAGATTCGCTTGAAAGAATCGAAACAGTCGTAGTGTGAGGATGCTCTGAGACAAAACAATACATTCTTGGAGGAAACAACCAAACACCCTAGGCATAAGGATGAAGAATGAGGGCATACTCGCATCTGGACGTATTTGCGATCAGATACATCCAGGACGGGCCATGATCGCAGTCACATGCATCCAGGAAAGCCCTAGTGTGAGTAGAGCCGAAGGGGGGCAAACGATGGGCGTTGTCCTCCCCAGCATTGCCCACAATGATACGCAAGAATACATGCATGACAAATGGAAAAAGTAGCTGTTCCCAGTGTGAATACTGTGCATTTTGGAGTGCCCCATGCTTGCAGTTATGCTGAGCGCCCCATTTATTCCTAAGGTCCTGCTGGTTCCCCCATTTCCCATTCCTTGTCCCCTTTCCCTGTTCTTCCTCAGACCCTGAGGTCCTGCTGGTCCCCCATTTCCCGTTCCTCGTCCCCTCTCTTCCTGTCTTCCTCAAACCCTACATAAACCCTTGCTGTTCCTACTAGTCCCGCTTTTCCCATTCCTTGTCCCTTCTACCGGTCGCCCTTAAACCCTACAAAACCCTTGCCGAGGGCACTGTTCTTCTCTGTCGGCGTCTGTGCTGTTCCTTGACTCAATCCGAAGGTGGCCTTATATCCACTGTGTTCCATCCTGGCCGGCATGGTGGCGGGTGAGGGTAGAGGGTGGAGGGCAGAAGGGGAGAGGAGGAGGGGAGGAGGGGGGGTAGGAAGTGAGCCGGGGAGGGGGAGGGGTATTGGAGAGAACACAAAGTTCGTTGAATGGATGTGTAGAGAGAAGTGGTCTGCCAGGAGAAATTCCCACAGGGTTGCCATTGCAGGCTCTGTGGCTGATCTAACTGGCATAGTCTTTCGTTGGGGTCGACCCATGTGGCGCTGAAGTTTTCGACCCTTTGTATTCTCTTGGGCTCGTCGGCTCGTCACTTTCATTTCGCGGCATGGATCGCAAGTTTTTCCAGGCCTCATGCGTGTAAGTCGTTATTGTGTCAGCAATTGAGGCCCTAGCCTGCAGGTAACCGAATGTATCTTGTCCTCTCTTGTGGGAGCGCCTCATTCGCCAGGCTGCCATGAGCAAGGCTAGTCGGGCATAGTGGAAGAGATTTAGCATGGAGCGTGTCCAGTCGGTGCCCTCGGGGGGGGAGGATGCCTAGGAGGATGATCTTCACATCCCATTGGAGATGCCGTCCTGTCAGATAGTGCCAGGCTGCATCCCAATCCCACCACCGCCAGAGGCGAACCACCATGCGGCAGCAGTCCAGTAGGCAGTGCTCCAGGGTTGCTCTTTTCCTGGGGGGAACAAACTCGCAGCATGTCCACAGATGGGAGAGCAACCCTTTTTATTCAAGGTCTGTTCTGTGTGTCATCTAGTCAGAGGTGGGCATGCACCTATGTATGATCTGCCAGTGTAGAGCCTTAAGAACGTATCTGACTGCACTTGCAGCCGGAGCTCGGCGCATCTGACCGTAATCACGTCTAGAGGTGGTTAGTAGGTCTGAGGTGAGTACAATGGACGATCATCTGCAACGGCACAGGTCTTCCCGCCCCAGGGGGGAGTCCCTTCTAAGGATGCTGTCCATAACTGGAGCCCGTGTACGCATTGTCCTGTTTCCGTTCTTTACAATGTATTGCCACGGCTGCATTGTGAAGGAAGTTGGGTTCATACATACACTACACTCTGATGGGTGGAATGGGAGATAGGACAGGGGGATGCTAGGTTCATACACATATCTTGTATCATCCTTTGTCGTCCATCACCCTGCACTCTGATGAGAGGGGCCGCCGCCGGGCACAGGGCAATCAAGGCCTTCCTCCCGTTGGATCACCAACCTATCTTGCCCCCCGCAGATCAGGGCAGAAGCCTCACTTTCTTTTTTGATGTGCATTGTGGAGGGGAAATCCGCCTTGGGAAAGAGAGGCCTGGGGGTGGTTTGAGGGGGGCCAGGGTTGGAAGGTCTCTCTGCTCTCCAGGGCATTGGTTCTCTCAGCCGTAATGGGAACGAAGCGCAGGTGCCTTCTTGTACTGTATTTTTCTCTCCTGCCACCTGTCAGTGGTTATGGGCCAGGCTGCTGCTCCCCCAGAATGCAACAAGTGTCGCCTTTTTTTGTCTTTTAAAACGAACAGGACAAAAAAAAAGGACTTCAGTGTGTCACACTCACATGATAATTTTGAAGAATGAAATTTCTCATTACTCCTGCTACAGGCGAGCTAAGCGCGAATCCCAGCTGCATTCAACATACAGACAAACAAACAAACAAAGAAACGTAATCTCACTATTTCACTTAGTCAAGTTAAAGAGTATACAGCCTGTCTCTTATACACATCTAGATGTGTATAAGAGCCCTCCTAAATCCTCCTCCCCTTTTCCTGCATCACTGTCCCACATGTTCTTCTCTTTTCACTGCTGGATCCCACACACAAGCGCTCTGGAAACCATCTGAAAAATTGTGAAAATGGAGTTCCCGAGGCTTCCACGAGCACACCACCGGCTTTGGTTGTAGGGAACTTTCCTGAGATCCCACACCGGAAACCGCTTTGTGGGATGAAGGAAAAGGAAGTCCCATTCTTTTTTTTTTTTCTTTTTTTTTTTCCTTTTTTTTTAATTAAACAGGTCCTTATGGCCTTGGCTCCATTTCCATTCTGGGGAGCATCAGTCCGGTTCCAATTCCACCGGCAGGTCAGGAAAATTGAATACATCATAGGACACCCTCACGCTTCCTTCCGTCTGGCCGAAGGAACCCTGATCTGCATTGATTGCTTCAACCTCATGGAGGATCGACTGTCAGCTTGCCCTGCTTCCAAAAAAAAAAAAACAAAAAAAAAGCTTGCCCTGCTTCCACCTTTCCTCTCAGGAATACTAAAAGAACCTGTCAAATAAAACATGAGAAGCAAGAAAGGTCTGATAAGCTACCACTGCTACCAATTCTGTCTAAACCCTAAAAAAAAGCCCCGCATTTGAGCCACAGTGAAATCCCTAGCAGTCTAATTTCTAACCCCTGCTTCTCTTGTTTCTGTCCAAGGCTCAACCCTAAACCCTAAACCCTGAACAAGATTAATCTTTTTACATCTGTTCCCTGTGAAACATCTGATGCCCGCCTGCAGCGCATGAATCTAGGATGCTCCTTTTTTTTTTTTTTTTTTTTTTTTTTAATAGCGGCAGTCCGGTTCCTTTCCCCCGGCAAGTCATAAAATACAATAAATCCCACACCAACGCTTCCTTCCGTCTGGCCGAAGGACCCCTGAACAGCATTGATTGCTCCGTCCAAATGGAGGATTGACTGTCAGCTTGCCATACCTCTAGGAATCCTCTCAGCTATTGCTCCTCTTTGCTATCGTAATAAATCTGTGAAAACAAGATTCCTCAAGGACGGACTGCTGGATTCTACAATTCCTTCGCCTGTTGTCGACCCTTGAACTCTTTTGCGATCTGTACCCTATGAAACATCAGCTGTTGCCAGTCGCGCGTGTGTCTTGGTCGCTTCTTCAAGGTCCAGATTGGAGTTAGTTCCTCCTGTACCTGGGTATTCCGTTCAGAAACATATTGGTAGAAGTATGCCACTCTTTCCATCTTAAAACCTGCCCGTTTAACCTCGCCACTTCGTCACCAGCCAGGCCCATTTGAATTTGGGAGCGTCAGACCGGTTCTTAAACCCCCTGTAGGTGATAACAGATTAATTCACATATCTGACCTCACCCATGCCCCCGTCCGTCTGGCCGAAGGGTCCCTGAGCAGCATTGATTACTCCAAACCCCATGGAGGATCGACTGTCAGCTTGCCAATCTCTGGGTTTCCTGTCCGAACCTGCAGTCGGAATCTGTCAGTTTAGACGATACGGCAAAAAGAACCCAAAGACTTTGCTGTTTGAGTCAGGCTCGCTGGAATTTATGTCACCCTGAAGTCCTGTTGTTCTATCTGATCAGGAGTTGTCCTTCTCGGGGGGACCGATGAATTGTGCAAGTCCTTCCATCTGATTCGTAACGCCTGTATCTTAGCTATCTTCCCCTGGACTAGCCACACTCTGTTAAAGCTTCTTGCTGTTTCTCTGGATTTTGCTGAACTTGGAGTCTGACCTTCTTCCACTGGCACCGGATATCGGTCTCCATTAGCAATTTCGTGGTGGCCCATACTTGTTCAGTTGGATTGGTAGTCTTGTCGATTGTCCCGATGCATCTCTCCTTCCAAATGACCCACAGCGTAGCCTTCCTGATTATTCCGAACCAGATGTGTTCCAATTTGTTGGAGAGAGAGGAGGTGTTAGTCCATAAGAGAAGTTGGATTGGGTGTTCGGGTAGGGAAGAGGGGAAGAGGGGGTCCCATAGCACTGATGCTCTCGCCCAAAGGTCAGTAGTGAGTTTACAAGTGATCAGACAGTGTACTATATTCTCCTGTCCGTTATATGGGCATACCGTACACTGGTCCGAACTGTTCGGATCATTGTTCTTTCTTCGTACATGAGGCCAGGCATTCACAGGGAGGGCATTGTAGGTGATCAGCCATTGGAGACTTCTTATCTTGACTGGGCGCATTGACTTATACTTTCGCCAAGGGAGTTCTGAAATTGGTTCTGTTCTTTGTCCCAGCACCTTCGTCCATCTTTCTTTGATTACTGGCTCGGGGTCTTTGGTTCTTAGAAGCTTTCTGTATCCCATCTTAACTGTGTATTGCATTATTTTAGAGGGGGTCTTACAGAATCTGTTAGCTTCTGAGGGCCAAGCCCATTCTTCTGGGTCAAATTCAAGGTCTTGGATTGCCGTCTCCGTATGGAATATTGTTTTCGGCCATCTTCCCAGTACTCTCACCTTTCTTAACGTGTAGGAGTTCAGAGCATACTTGCAAGCGGACACCGTCCGGGCGGTGCCGCACGTGCGGCAGACCACCGGACCGGACCCATGCGGCGCACGAATGTGCGGCCGACGACCAGTTACGCCCCACCCCCCCACCCCCAAAAAAAAAATGCCCCCGTCTGGTCCGGTCCGGATCCGTCTGGTCTGGGGGGAGGGTGCCGCACGCAGCAAAGCGGACCGGACCGGACGCTCGTCCGGTCCGTCTGCTTGCAAGTATGGTTCAGGGTCAGTGTTCTGAATGGCAAGGGATTTGGGGTTCGATCGATCTATGGGGAAGGAGATAAAGACTCTGGAGCGAGCCGAACCAGGAGATCTGCGATTGAATTGATATGCTTTCACTGGTACTGTTTCCTGTGTTAGCAGTCCCCATTCCCCTGCTTTCCATGAAAAGTCTTCTTTCAATAGCTCTTTCCAACTGTCAGGGATGCTGTTGACCAGGGCTGATACATTCTCGTCCCGGCGGTGACAGCCCTTTAGTCAAACCTTTAGCTGATTCTCATCAATCCAGTCTTTTTTCTCTTCATCCCAGATGTGACTCACCTTCCAGATCCCGTGCTTAATCCAGGAAAGCCATCTCTGACTTCCTACCAACGACAGAGGCTGGTATCCTTCGTCTTTAACGTTCAGGTTCCCGAAAAGAGGGTGCCGCAACACCTCTACTTTGGATTTGGGTTTCTTAACCTGTTTAGGCATTATCTCCCTCCAAATCCTGATAAGTGCTGTCCAGTAAGGGGTGGGGGGCTGTGCATCGTCTCACTGCGAAGTTTCCCAGTGCCTTCTCTTGCCCGTTTTCAGAGCCCAATCCTTGTTCATTACACAGAAGAGGCCTGACATATTATCTGGGGTCTGAACTGGAGCTATCGATCTGATACTGTCCAGGGCCAACTTGTGCGATGCCAGCCTGGGTTGGGTTAGTAGTTTAACTACCCATTTGATCTGTAGAGCCTTGGTTTCTTCTCTGGGGTCGATTATCCCTAGTCCCCCTTTTGGCGGGCTCCTAGTTATGTAATGCCAGCCTATTTTAGGAATGTACTTTGTTTTGATAGGGTCACCTGACCAGAGGTATGCCCTCGCCCTGCTATTGAGTTCCTTAAGAGTTGGATCTGGTATGGTCCAGATGAAGCTATGTACCACATCATCGAGAACACGGACGTATTGATTGTTAAAGCTCGTCCTAGCAGTGAGGTAAATGTGTTGTCCCATCTTCCCATCCTGTTTATTTGATTCGTTAGCAGGTTCTCTGCCATTTGCGAGGAAAGACCTTCCTTGGTAACCATGATCCCCAGGTATCTCGTCGGGTTATCCGGTCTCTCCCATGGCATTTCTGCTTCTGGGCCTGTCATTGGAGGTAGTTCCTCCTCTGACAGCCACCACCCCACCATTTTCTTCCAGTTTATCTTCATTTCTGAAGCTACCCTGAACGCTTCCATTGCCCTGACTATTGCTTTGATTGAGGAATCTGATGCCCTAATGAGGACAGTGAGGTCATCAACGAACATTATCACTGTTGGGAATTGGATATGGTGGAGTGAACCCGTGTTGAGCTCGGGAAGTCTGTGAATCGAAGGGTCTTTGCGCAAAAAGGATGCTATGGCTTCCATTACGAACAGGAAGATCGGCGGGGCTAGGGGATCCCGTTGCCTCACTGACCGGGAGATTGGATAACGGTCAGATAGCAAACCATTGACTTGTACACATCCTGATCCATCATTTTACAGGACTCTGACCCACTTCCTGAAGTTGGGTCCCACTCCCATTTTCTCCATGCTTGCACCCGGGAAGGCCCAATTCACTTGGTCATAGGCCTTTTCGAAGTCGAAGAACAAAATTGCGGTATTCAGTCTCTTCTCCTTGACTTTCCTTGCAGCTTCAGTCAAAGTGAGGACATTGCTTGGTCTATGTGAGCTCCACTCAAAGTGAAGACATTGCCTGGTCTATGTGAAAACAATTGTCTGTGAGATCCAGTATCCTTAAAGCTAAGGCTTTAGCTAGAATTTTGTAGGAAACGGTAAGTAGTGAGATCGGCCTGTAATTCCAGATGTCTTCCCTGTCCCCCTTCTTGTATAGCAGGGTCACCACGCTGTTGCTTAGCAGTTCTCCCAAGAAGGTCCGTTCCCATCAGCGGCCAGGCTTGTTCCCAAAATTCCTTGGTAAGACCATCAATTCCTGGAGACTTATTGTTGTTCATGCAGTGGAAGTCCCATTCTAAAAAGGCAGTCCTGAAATCAGTGAAATCACTTAAATGGTAATTTAAAAATTTTCAATTTTGTGGTTTCTTGCTGCTGCTTTGTTGGTTTTCTTTGCCAATCACCGGTTTTCGTTTGCGTGCCAAAAAAAAGTTATCTCCTCTCCAAAGGGAATGCATGCCCCCCCCTATACT